AATAAATGGGCGAGGCCCGCGACAGCAGCGACTGGGGTAAGATGAGCCTCGGGAGCCCCGCTCCGACAGACACTGCGAAATGAAATTATCTCTCACACTCCCCGATGGAAAAGTCACAAACAGCCTGACTACGTTATTGGACTCAACTCGATGGGGAGGCAAAAACATACACGTCAAATGAATGACAATATTCCTGGATTTTTAGCACCACTACAAAACAGGCACTATTGATTGAAGAAGGGAGTTACATTCAAGTTAAATTATTCGTGGATAAATATTTCAGATAGTTTGGGCCGCTTGATACCGTTTCAAAGATCATTTTCAATTAACAACACTATCAGACAAAATGAAGAAAGAAGCCTATAGAGCAGTAAGGTCTTGTAAAACGACAATTTAACTAGGGAACAAGAAGTTTACAACGGACTGAAAGATTTGGGAGACGGAGATACAAATAAGGTTGTCGTTCACTCTCTCCTTTCCAGAAGCAGAGGTTGAAAAAACAAAATAGAAATTTGGGAGGTATGTCAGTAATTCATTAAGTTTGATAAATTTTGATGTTGTTTTAAATAAACAAATTAAAGAAGAGGAAAAAAAACATGTTAGAAAGTGTACTACCTAATCTTAATAAAATAATATTTTCATTAAGGAAGGAAGATAATTTTGAGAATTTTTATATCAAGGCTAGTCGAAAGGAAAACTGAAATTTGCAGTTAAAAAATAAGTTGAAAAGAGGAAGGCAGCACAGACAACAATATAATTGATTTTAAAAAGGCAAGCAACAGTGTGTCCATTCAAAGGCAAAGTATAAACAAAACATCTGACAGATGAAGTGTTTGCATATTTTTTTCTACAGGATAATCCTGCTTTAGAAAATTCAAACTGTTCTTATTCACGGGATTTAACTCGATCACAGCAGTCCCATAAAGTCACTGAAAAACATTCGCTGACAAAACATCATCTGATATGTGAATTTGGTGGGGTATATAACCTCCAAGGGGACATCGGCACCACAGGTGCAAATGGGATGGCAGGACCGATCAGGATTCCCAGAACCCTGATCGCGAAGAGAACATTTCTTCGGATTCGGACCGCATCCCGAACAGGAGCCCACCAGCCGTCCCAGCGGCAGCGGGGCCAAATAACCTTAGACGTAACCCCTTCAACCACATCCACAGTCATGGCGACGTTCGCCCGCTGTTGCCCAATTGGACCCCGGGGAAGAAAAACAAGGCTTACTCACTTTTCATCACCCGGTCTGTGCAGGACAGCTTCGGGCTAGTTTCGGACTTCATCCTGGACGGTTGTCACTGGCAACACACTGCACATGCGACGGCAACCGCCGATTCAATTCTTGACCCGAATTCACTTCTCTCACTCACACTCTCGCACACACACTACACGGCTGGCGCGGCGCGCGGCGGGGCCGGGCGGCCAGCAGCAGCAGGCGGGCGGCACGGGTAGGATGGGTGGTAGGCGCGGCGGGGCGGCGGGCAAAGCCAGCAACTCGGCGGACAGGACAGGGCGGCCCGAACCCCCGAACCCGACCCTGGTCAGATACACAGGGACAGAGAAGGGAACTCGGAGGGGAAGGTGAAGCCCGCGGGACGGGGACGGCGCCGCACCCGACGATGCACCGCGCGATTCAGGAGATCGTTCACTGCACGGCCTCACGGCCTCTCCCTCCCGCTCTCCGCGCCCCTGACCAGATGCTGCTCAGGCCCCTCGAGGCCACGGCTGCGGCGATGAACCCCTCGCGACTCGCGACTCGGTGGCGGCGAGTGTCCGGCGGGGAGGTGCCGGAGACGGGACGCACTGTAGGACTCTACGCACGGCGGACGAGTGACGAGTGTGCTCCACTGGCACGCGACGGACGGAGGGTGGTCCTCCTAGTCGGAGGCAGGGAAGGCCCCCCCCCCCCCCTTTTCTGATGCGCGTGCACGTTCGCACATGGGGCGGCGGCGGCGGGAGCGAGGGGCGGGTAAGGAAAAGGTATCGATTGCGGCTCTGAAGCCGGCTGGTGGCCGAAACAAACCCAGCGCCGACCGTTAACGCAGCTCTACAGGTGTGCAGGCGGGCGGGGCTCTGCAACCTACTGGTCTATTCTACCGATGCCTGTCGGTGTACCAGACAGTGGCTTCAAAGCAACTACCAGCCTGATATGGTCTGTCTTGGGGACAACACACAACAGGGAAAACATGAAAGAGGGAAAGGCAATGATTTCCTCTAGTCTTAGCCACTTTTTCAGCTTCCAGGAAACGCTACACACATTACTCCTTGTTTCCTGTAGTTTTTTGTTTTTTGTTCTTGTCTCTCTCTGAAGTAAAAAAAACAACAGATATATTGTGCAAAGAAAAACTGAAAAAGTACTCTGAGAGGAGAAATGATCTAAGTGTGAGCTATGCGACATGATAAAATTAAAAGAGTGCTGTAGGCATATCAGATTGTGGAGGATAATCAATTGAACAGACGCCCACCGTCAAGCTGTAAGCAAAGCTCATTTTCAATTCACAGCTGCAGCCTCCAGTTGTTACAGTCAAATTACTCACATGCTTTTCACAAACTTCACACCAATTTAGAATGATAAAATGAAACGGAAAGGAAAAAATAAAAATTAATAAATAAATATTTAAAAAAAGTCTATTTAAACAAATTTTATCCAAACCTACTGCAGGCAAAAACATGAAATATCTGTAAAAACACTAGCTTCTTAAATAAATTTGTACCAACACAGTTATGGTCATTCTAATAGCTATAGGTGAATACATTACACAGATCTCCAGAAGTACCAAAAGTTACACCCAAAGATGCATGTATTCAAACATCAGATAAACAGCAAACTTAACTGCACACATAGCTACATTAGGGAAAATCAGTCACAGGCATTAAATAAGAAAGTCATTAGGAGGGTCCAAGCAGCATCAATCATTCAGATTTCAGAGTAGAAAACAAACCAAATGCAAAACATAGCTGATTGGCTGGATAAATTCTTTGACAATTTTTTTTCAACATTGTTAATTGCATTTGAATACACAAATGTCCATTTCATTTATTTATAAAATGCAAACAAAATGTTTGTTAGTCATATCATAGATCATAGATTCCTGATGCATCAAACTGTTTTCACAAAATTCTAAAAGCAAAAAATGTATTAGCACTTTGATTTTGTGAATTGACTTCCTTTCAAATACATGAAATTGTGACTTGGGGACTATACTTAATTAAAACAACTTAAAATAGTTTCACTCCTAGGATACCTCTTGGGTAATACATCCTTAAAGCACACATCAACTTAAATTTGGACTGACAATAACTTCATGACAGGTCTTATGCTAAACTAAAAACAAAGTTGACCATTATCACATTAGGGGATTCAATTACACACAGAATAAAATCCACAATCAGTGGAATTTAAAGAATATCATATTTTACTGGGAACCATGATATCATACAAATAAATAGAACATTGGAACAATTACAGGTTGTTGAGAATAAAGGGCACCAGATAATCTTGCACCTAGACATGAGGACCAGGTGGATAATCTAGAGAGTTGGCACATCCTCCTCAACATCAGCACATCCAACCTCCAAGTGTGGCCCTCTGACTTAACTCATATTCATATACTTAAAGTATATATTGGAAAAATATCACAAAACTTCACAAAGAGAAAGAAAAGAGCAAAGTATTGAAGGTGGAATAGGAGTGGGAAATAAGATAAATAAAAAAAGGAACATTTAGGACCCATAGTCTTCATCTATCACGAAGTCAGACGTGTTTTCTTCTACGTGAATATTATTAGCATCTTTTTCTGAGTCAGTTGATTCAGAATCTTCAGACCGCTTGTCCTCATTATCTCTCTGTGGCATTTCTTGCTTCTCTGGATTTGTTCTGAATCTTCGACCGGTGAACGAGCTAGGGTGAAAAAATACTTATTAGGTCAAGAAAAGAACCAAAGAAAGTCTGTACTCTGAAATAGGTAGGCAGACAGCACGCACCTTAACACCTCTTCAGGCACAGTAGCTGTGGTTGAAGCTGATGAAGCTCCGTCTTCATCATATGAGTTCACATCTGGTAAACTTCGCACAAGATCCTTAAGAAAATGAAAGCGTTGATCTGAAACTATGCACTGTTTCCTGAATGGACGACACCAAATTCAATTAGAAAAATTTCAACAGATCAGTTTTAAGAACACTTATGTTTGATTTAATTACATAAACTTCAAAGTTAAAAAATAAAATGAGAACTTACATGTGAGAAGGACTAAGGGTTCTTGCATTTTTTGCATTAGTCACTGCAAGAGCACTTGTCATCAGTGATTGGACAAAGAGCTCCAAAGTTCTAGGTACAGTTACATTAAGGAAAGTAAGTCATAAAGAAAAAGACAAAAAACAAGTTGAGGCAGATTAAAAAATTTACACCTGACTTTTGACATCCTATGAAAGACATAAAGTAACAATATCATTTCTAAATGAAATGAGCCAGTTAAGAGCATAAGCACAAAAAGGTTTACTTCATATAATTTTCAAAAGTTAAGATAAAACTGCAGGCTAAAGGATATAAATCATGATGGGAACAGCTTGCGCAACCTTCCCAACTTGTTCATCAGTCTGCATAATTTTCTTGATGCGCCCCTGTACAACAAACGAAACAGGAAAATTAGTCTCGTTAATAATACGACAAAACTCCAATGATAATAAAGGCACACAAATATTGACCCTTCTTAGAAAGCTCACTAGATACAATGAGTAAGATTACACAAAAATTACACAAGAACACAATGTACGCTTATGAAACCAAATTAAAATCAAACAATCCGGAAAAATAACAAACATTTGATAAATGAGACTAGCAAAGATATTGCTAACCTCAGCAACGAGAAAGACGGTACAAAAGCGCCTAATTAAGTCGGACGTTAATGAATAGAGTTCAAGGGAGCAACATACATTGTTCAAGAGTTGATACGGTTTTTCAAACTATCATGCAGTATTGTATATGTCAATAAACATATTTGAAACATTCTTGTCAAGGATAGGCAATAAAATCAGTGTTGAACATACCGCTGGAAAGCGAGCGTTGTATTTCCTCCGCTTGCTAGGCATTTCTTCTCATAGGTAGAAAAAGAATAACTTAAGTAAGTGCTTTCTAACACGAAATAAAACGAGATATAATCATTGTGATATTAAGAAAACCGTAACACAAACAGAAACTGGAGGGATGAAGAAGACTACGCAATCAACAAAACTCCAATTTCGGACCGGGGTGGGAGTGAAGCAGGCGGGGGGTTTACTGAAGTCTGACGACGTCCTGGGATCTTCTTCAAACCTGCCTTGTGCCATTAAGCCCCTCCCCCCTTCTCTCATCCCTTACCCCCCCTGTTTCCCCCTTCCCGCTGTTATCAGAAAACTAGAACATCACATTTATATCCACATTCACAAAGCGTCTGCTTAAGTAGGAATCAGCTGGGCAAGTAACCTTGTCTGCGTATCCGACGTTTGGTGGTCACCTCTACCTTAATTTTTTTTCCCTTATCAGCTTCAATCCCAGGGACTGTTGAAAGCAATTTAATATTTCTTTAACATGGCAGCTATGGCGGGTAAGCTAATGAACAGCCTCAAGAGTAAAGAGTTCCGGGAGTATTTGATGAGGTGAGTAAGCAGTAGCTTAAAGTGTAGCAAAGTTTTAGCATGCAGCTGGGCGCTTATCTGTGAAAGGCCCTCATGCCAATAGGACTACTGCAACTACTTGACTGATTTTATTGTTCTTAGTATCTTTGGGAGGGCAGACAGGTGTCATCGTTTTGCTATTTTCTATTTTTGTTTTACAGCACACACTTCTGGGGTCCAGTAGCTAACTGGGGTATCCCTATTGCAGCAATTGCTGACACCCGCAAAGATGCTGCCATGATCAGTGGTAAAATGACCTTAGGTAATTAGGTGTCAGATCTTTATTCCAGTATTTTATATACACCACATAATCTATTTTATCGACATATCACAATTTTGCTTTTTTTACAGCACTCTCCCTTTACTCGATCATGTTCATGAGGTTTGCTTGGCGAGTTCAGCCACGGAACATGCTACTTTTTGCCTGCCATTTCACCAATGAATGTGCACAACTTACACAAGGAGCACGGTTTATCAATTACCACCACCTTGGAGGTAAAGAGGCAGCTTCACAGCCAGCCAGTGAATGAGATAACAGTTGTACAGTGTCAACAAACATTCTTTAAAACTTAATTATGACCTTTAAATTATTTTCGTGAAACAAGGATAAAGATATACTAAGATGGTTACAATGTATGAACAATAACAGCACAGGTATCGAACTTTATCTCGTATTACTTAGAACATTACTGCATAACGCATAAAAGTAAAGCAAATTTCTGTGATTAAGGTTATTAGATAAACCCCTGAACATCTGTGGGATGAGTCTTCCTTGCCATTTAGCTTTCACATTGTTAGATTAGGAAATGGAAATGAAGCCCCCAAACAGGGATTGTGGTTTTAACACAATTTTATGTGGTGTCTAGTGAGAATAAGAAGTCAAGCAGAAAGTGTAACAGTAGAGTCAACTGCTGGAGCTCTAATGTTCCTTTGATACTAAAGAAATGAAAGAATGTCTACCAACCAATAAGAGTACAAATTAAATGCAGTGATGTCACACATCTATACTTTTAGAAAGATGAGAATTTGAAATAGAATAGCATGGAAATATTTACCTAAGAGTTTCAGATGCCTGAATAAGGAACTCGTTTAAAGTTTCATTTTGCATGAAGTGCATACCAATGATTCGAATGATACCACTTTGATGACCTGTAGCCAACCAGAAGAACCTTCCAATGTTTGGGTTCCAGACTACCTGTAGAAATTAGAAAAGTGCACATTTATATATACTACATGCCTCCAGAACACTTATCCATGTACAGTAACTAGATGTGATACGATGATCTTACTTTGTTGATCGAAGTTATAGGATAAAAATCTGAACATGTTGGATGCATTTTACCAGATAAGCGGACTCGTGACTTTGCCTCTTCTGGCAGTTTATGTTTGTTACTGTCACCCTGAAACAAAGAGTTCAGAAGTTAAGGATTTGCATTCTGAAAAATGCCACTACAAAAATTCAATAACACTCAACAAATTCAAAACATACCTTAACTACATCACAAACACATAGGCCATAGTTTTTCTCAATGTCAGCATAATACTGTGGATTACGTTCCATTAAAATTGCCTCAGGAGTATATAAAGATGCTGCAATTGTCTCTTCACCTTCTGCATCTTGGGCATGACGCTTCCCTTTACCTTTTGCATTCTTAGCTGTTTTCTTCCCTTTGTTTTTATTATTCTTCGGTTCTGGCTTCCATGTAACCACTTCTCCAAGCTGTTTGGTACTGGAGTTTCCAGAAATCAGCTTTTTTAACTGAGTATAACTGGCCATCTAAAGAGCACATTAAGAACTCATGAGAAAATGCACGCACATTAAAAAAAACTAATTTTACTGCTTCCTTTTAGATTGAAATAAAGAAAGAAACGGTATGAAACCAAATCAGTTAACTGGACTAGAAGATTTGTATTAGAAATACAGCTAATATAATTTTTTACTTGTTCTTTTCCATCCCACCAACTTCCACTTGGTGGTAAAAAGAACGAGTATTGTTCTCAGTGCAGTGTCACACCTTAACTGATTCTACTTCCACCTCAGAGCACACAACACCCACAGATATAACAATAGTGTCACTGAACAGCGCAAACGCCGGTCTCTACTAAAAGAGTGAACTTTTTCTCATGTTTAATAGGATTTTTTCAAGATCTCTTCACAAATTTTGCACATTTTCATTTTAAGTCCTTAACCCAGCTTTTTACTGGACACTTAAATCTCAGAGGACACAACTCCTTCAAACTTGGAAGTAATACTATTCAAAATTAGGAACCTTGGTGTTTGTTTTATCGAGGAACTTTTTCCATGTTAAATAGTATTATTTTGAGAACTCTTAACAAAAATTTTGAAGGTTTTCATCCTAAGTGTGGCTCGGCCCCGCCGGCTCTGTTCGGGCCCTACCTCGGGCCCTATGTTTGGGTCCGATGCCGGCTGGCCACTGGCCACGCCCCCCTCCCTCAGCAGAGCAGCGCGATCAGTCCTTCCCTGTTCTTTCTACCCGAATAAGCCCTCCTTCCTTGTCTAGTGCCAGTGCTCTGACTTTTGAGGGGGTAATTTTCCCAACAGTATTGCATCTTGAGCGGACTGGCTCTGAAATTGTCCTACCTACAAAACCATAGATAGATAGACATATTTTTTAGAACTAGCCCGCTCAAAATATCAACACTTTGCGCAAATGGGCACTCTCTACCTGACTTGTCCCCATGGCCCCTACCCTCCAACACGACATATTAAGGGTTACACAACTGCACTCAGGACAATACTTGTTCTCTTACAACCAAATATACTGACGTAAAGTGTGATCTCTGGAAAGAACAAGTTTCATATTTCACACGAAATTGATTTTGTGTTTTCCTTCTTCCTTGTCTTTGGATAGAAACAAAACAGAGGTACTTACAATTCGTTTATCAATTGAGCTTTTCTCATTATCTAAGCCTCTCATAAGCTGGCTAGAAAAAGTTACAACAATTTCACCTGCTTCAGATCCTTGAGCTGTAGCGTTTATCCACTCATTATATGACAAACACTAAAAATAAGAAAAAGCAAAGAAGATGCAAAAGTAAATAAATGATTTAAAAAAAAATAATACTTAGAATGGCATGATTTTATAACCAAGCTTCAAGTTGACATTTTATTAATTACATATTTGAACTCACCCAAGCAACTGAGTTCTGAGTTAAGAGAGGATATGGTTTATATCCATAGTCTCGAACAGGATGCAAGGTTGAGTTAGTATGTTCATGCCTACAAAAAAGAAGAATTAGATAACACAATATTTTAACAGGTTTCCATACAAAACAGATACAATCGAATCTGATTTGAGCTTACTGAAATGCATCGTCATATGAGGTAATGCTTGATATCCAAAGGTTGAGCCAAACACCATCAGTGACGTATCCTCGTCGATGGTGAGTCATGGGTGCAGATAGATCCTCCATATCCCAGAATTTTACACCCCGGTCGTGGGAACCAGTCATAAAAAAACGGCCATCATATTCAGGATTGAATGAAAGTGCTTAAAGAAATATTGTCACAAATCAATATAGAGGAAACTGCCAAAAGTAAAGTACAACATAGATTCTAAGATTAGATTAGAAAAGTTTGCAGTTTATGTTTACCTGATATTACGGTCAAATGGGCCTGAAAACACTGAAAGGGTTTTAATGTGCTGTGTTCAGCATCCCACAACAGTGGAGGGAGAGTTTCAAGATCCCACAGAGCTACCATACCGTTGCAGTACCCTGCTGCTATCAACCTGTAAGATTTGTTTTAGATAGTAAATGTAAAAATTATAAAGTCTTTGGTTACATATTAAGTTCTAATGCATTAAAAAAAAAATTAGTTTTGAGTTAAATACTGTGTATTAGATAATATATTTACCCATGGCCACGTCCCTGATACCATGTAACTCGTGTACATTGTGATGGTTCAGTAAAATTTGTAACCAAGGTGAGAGATGGCTTACTCTTGTAAACAGGAAGAACTCTTGACATCAAATAAAAATGAGTTAGTAACTATGAGAAAAAGTGTATATTGAAGTTATACTTTTTCAAAGTGGATGAGGTACTATACCTTTGGTTTTGATGACAAACCAATTCATCAGGAAATGGTATGGCAAACACTTGAACATCACCACTTGAACATCCTGCAGCAAGGAGACCCATTCTCTTCCAACTTTGCGTAGCCACTTTAGAAGACTCAGGATTTATATCATAAGCTCCGCTAGGACACCATGCCAAACTCCATATAGTACCATAATCATGGGCTAGGGCCAGTGCTAGTTTGGGGTGTTGCAAAACACTGAAAAATGTGATAAAATGAAATTGAGTTGAAACAGAGAAGTTTTTTAGCATCAAACACGCAAAAAAGCTAAGTCACCTCTTGGATGAGAGATTTCCACATTCCCAAAATTGGATAATATTAGGAAATGAATAACACTTTGGAACACAGAAAGTATCATCCATGTTGTGGTGCGTACTAACAGCAAGGTATTCTGATGGAGGACTATTTTCCGATAAACATATATGCATTGGTATAGGACACCACTCCATCGCCCAGACTGGTCCACCAGTAAAGAAAGTGCTAACACCTGAAAAAACATACGCCACTGAAAAAAAACATTCCAACTACCAACTGCAAAGGAAATTTAAAATAAAATCAACCATTTACCATCAATGACTTGTCCTTCAAATATTGAAAACTGGTGGGGAAGTCCAGACATGCCCTGAGATGTAGACTGAAATTGTATGGGAATTGATTTGGTCGCCCTTGGCACGTACAACTCCAAATTTTCAAGAAGAAGAGACCACTCTGTCTTTGATGGAACCAAGTCAGGGAACACCTTATCAGAGTAGCTTGCCAAACGACTAAGAAAAATATATAAATATATTTATATATTATAGGTTTTTAAGAATTAAATAACCACTACAAATTACATCCTACTCTCAGATAGCAAACAATGTAGACAAATACTCACAAATCAAAAGTCCATTGCAATGCAGTATTATAAATTTCCAGGTCTTTTCCCATTGATGTGACAGTGTTCTGAAGGAATCTCATTTTGTTAAATGCACCTGTATCATACATATATAGATATATAACAAACAGCAATGTCTAAATAAATAACTTGAATACTTTTCTATAATGCAGAGAACATACGTTGTGGACCAGGTGGCTTTGGACGAATACTTAAGCGATTCTGACGCTTAACAGCAGGTCGTGCACTTTCCACTTCAGCTTCAGAAGTTGAATTTATGTCACTCGATGAGGGTGCATCACTTAAAAAACTCTCCTGCGACTCATGCTCAGTCAGGACATGCTCAAGAATTTCAGACTCTTGGTTATGTTGGAATAAACACACGTTGCACAGAAACCTCTAAAAGAAGAAGAGAAGGTAACACCCAATTTTTAGAAAATGGTTGTCTCTTGAACTGTTTCTTTTGCGTGTCGTATGTAATAAAAGAAATACAAATCCCTGCCATGAAGGGCATAAAATAATTTTCTCACCATATTATGTTCCCGAATGTACTCGCATGCACTTAAGTGATTTCTGATTGAATCAATGCTGTCTGCTCGGTATTGACAATCACTATACACACACATTATACTGCCTGTTAGACTTATGAAGCCTCTCCATGTTTGCAGAAGTCTAGGTGATGAATCCCAACCATGAGTTTCCATATCTGTATACAGTTGCTTTGGTTCGTTCAGATGTTTTGGAACTTTCTTGGGCACTGAATATCCATCATCACTCAAGAAATCCATCATTCTAGACTTGGCACTACCAATCAAAATTCAAGCCAACCATTAAGAAGAGTATTTAGGCCTAGAAATAGCAAACATCAATATATTGTATACAAACCGAGTAGCAGCGGCTCTTTTGGGTTTTCTCCCATTGTGTTCTGATCGACTCGTACTTGGAGAAGTACTTGTGGGACTCCCGATGGTTTGATCAAAATCATCTGATGTGCTTTGACGTTGATGAATCATCATGTGAGACTTCAGGCTCACAGGCATTATAGATTTACCACAAACTTCACAACTGATCTTTAGTTGCTCCTTTTCCTGAGGCAAGAGTTACAAAAGTAACAGGATCATAAACTATAGTGAAAAGATTATTTATTTGAATCTCAAAATATTAAAGCCACATGCAACTTACCTCTTCAGATTTGCCACACACTTGCTTGTGAGTGATAAATCCTACTGCACTCTTCTTTTCTTCTCCACAGATTTCACAACAGAGAACTTTCCTCTTTTTACTTTTAAGTGCTTTGTTAAGCATACTGAGAATAAGTTTTTCATTATCTAGGTCCTACATCAATATAAACATGGATTTTATGATCATTATTCTGAGGATTGTGTTTATAATAGGCCATTCTCCTATCCTACTCTTGAAAAACACGGTAAACACTGGAAGTAGCATTATTTTCTCAACTTATAAAGTAAGATTTCAGATCAGTTTTATGCTGTTTATTATTTAAAATGCTTAGAAGAATTGAATCAAAATTTATCATAAACCTCACAGTCCTGAGAAAATAAGAAAAGCTACTCAAATCAGTATTTAAAAAGTTTTCCGAGAGAGACATGTTAGAGACTATGTTCTCTGACATGTTGATTATTATTTATTACATGCTTACCAGAGGCATGGTGCCTTCCAACCAAGCGAGCATGTTGTGGGAATTAATATTGTGACCTGTAAAGTCATGACTTGACATTTCTTCCTTGCAAACTGCACACTGTATGGATGAAAAAAAAGATTTTTTTTAATATCCAGTAACAAACTGTATAAACATATGATCCTAATCATTCGATGTAGAAAATAAACATTGTAATAATTGAAAAAACATTCAAGTAACAGCAATAAGATACCACACATTACAAGAAGCATACTAAGAGCATGACTCTGAAACTTTTATTAAACTTACAGCATACGTGACAAATTGAGCACTAAATGTAAATTTGAAATCAAGATGTTTGAAATTTTGACAGACGATGGATTGACACTTTTACCTGAACAACTTCGATTTCCTCCTTCACGAAAGAACGCCGTCCTCCACGCATTTCGATAGCTGTATTAGTATCAAAACCACAGTGAGAGCCTGCTTTTAAAGGTGCTACTGTTAACCAGTAACTTTAAAAATCTGAAAAACTGTAGCTAAACCACAAGGAATGTGTGGTGTCTACAATATATAATCTCGAGTCATTCGACATGATCTTCTCCGAAAACCAGATCATGTAACATCAACTATAAAAAACTTCTACTGCTACAAATTAGGGATCCGCTAGTGCAATACTACTAAGTAAAAAAGCTAAAATTCTCAATCTTTACAAAACCCGGTGTATAATTAATAAGGTTAGGTTCCTGTAACTATTCACAGCCCCCTTGACCCGAGAACAAATGAGGACTTGTTTTCATTTGTTGTTGTTTATTTACATTGATCCATTGGGCTCTGGCCATTGGTAGCTCTGTTGTGTAGAATAGAATGGTAGAATAATTGTCATGACTATAGAACACTGGACAACGTTTTTCAATGCGTCTAAGATTGCCTGTCAATAATTTCTGCGTCAGCTTGCTTCATTTCTGGAATGTTACCATTCATGGCCAGTTTGCGTGTGCTGTCGAAGGGTCTAGTCAAAGAATACCACCGGCCATGTTTCCTTAACAGGTTATGTTTTCGGAGTCCTAAATCATTCTCATCGTTCAAAGTAGCCTGTCATGTTGATCGGCGTTATACTAAACGCTTTCTATCCATCAATTTTCCAAGGTTATGCTTAAGTAACCGTAATGATTTCTATGACAATCTAATGGATTCGCCAGCCAGTCAGGGAAATGGATTTTGGTTGCAACGAAGATCAACACATGCTGTGCTGGAAAATGATTCATGTTTTCAATCAACAATTTTTAGTGCAAAAGTTTTAGAAGATTGTGTGGATAATCAGTGCCGATGGAGTATATCAACACCCACCAAACAAGACATATTTCAGGCCTCTGTCAAAGACCTTTCAAGCTTTATTTGCCATCAGGCTCCCACAATGGGACGTGAAGACTTCAGGAAATGCTGCACTTACATAGCTGGTAGCGTTCCCCAGAAAGTATTTTTTCTTTGTGAAAAAGAGCTCAAAATGATGTACATTTAAATACCATATTCCTCTCTTTGTCTGCATAGAGCACTTACCAACATTTACTGATGATGACATATTACAAATAACCATGTCTATGTATACTTTACGTTTCCAAGGAGGAAACACTTCAACGATTTGGGAAGTTATAGATAAAGAACTTCTTGCAAGATATTACCAGTTCTCCAATAATCCCTCCAAAGATGACTTTTTTACTAGAGTGACTGATGTCATTTTCTGGTTGAACTTTCTGGACAAAAGTTTTTTTGTTGAGAAATATTTATCAAAATCAATAACCTCTCAATCTTTGAGGTATTTGCTGTAATCAAGAGATGTGAAAATGAACCTTTAATTTACTAGAATTAATACGGTATAGATGCATTGTTACAGATACCCACATGGAATCCAAATTATGTTTTATGCGAGTTGTACATCACGGCAATGGCGAAGTAAAATGGACGTGAGGCATTTAACTTATTTTCTTGATGAAATTAAAGGAAAATGCCAGCTTAACACTTTCTTAGTAGCTATTGAATGTTTTTCTTTGATTCATTTTGTGAGAAGAATGGTGTCTGCACCAAAGACAATCCATGTTCCACGGGAACTACAACATTTTCTCATTGCCACTGCTTTGCAGAACAATAATGATGATGTTTTGAAGTCAGTAACTCAGGTTGGTTTGGTTGTTTTATTTCGTAAGGAATATGAAACTTACAAATTTTCTTGTCTAATTCCATTAATGTTTATGTTTAAATTTTGAATTCTTTTAAAGTTATATTGTACCGCATGTAGGTGTACAGGCAGGCTGCTTACTCAACCTGGGTCATTAAGTAAGGCGCCATGCTAAGTGGCATGAGGCAAGCCCGCCTGCACCCAGTACACGTGCAAGCGGTTTAACTTTAACTTTAAATTATTTTTTTTTATTGAAAAAAAAGTGCAAACTTATGTGATTATCTGCAAGCTCCATTGGGAGGAAACTCTTAATCAACCTCTTTATTTTCACAGTTTTTTTACTCATGTGCAGTAAGAAGAATTCCTAAGAATTTCCATGCTCTGCTTGATAAGATAAGTGGAAGTGGACCCTTAACAAACTTCATTGTTGTGTATTACATTTTACATATAATGTCCAACTGTAGAATTAAACATGATAAGTTTATCGCAAATTTGGACAGCTTTGATGACATTGATCAGGCAGATGTAAGTAAAATTTGAGGTGTTCATTTTCTTTCTGTTTTGGTTCAAATATATTTAAAATACCATAATTCTTTTACAGCCTAAAGTTATCAGCAGCATGTTTTTAAATCTCTATGGAGATCTTGGTCCAAAGGATGTTGCTCATTTGGCCAAAAGAGTAGCACATTTTTTTGAAAATGGAGACATATGCTCTACTTCAGAAGGCCTTCTTTTGAAAATATTTGTAACCCTCATGGACTCAGGAATCAATCTTTTTCATCTCTGGGAGTTAACTATGCAAGGAGATGTTATAGTACCCAATTACCACAATAAATTAAGTGAGAACTGTGTTTGCATCATTCCTTGTTAATGGCAATTCATTTTGCATGTTGCAAATTATATATCAAAAACCGTTCTGAATCCAAGCAATTTGGGAAAGCCCTTACTGACTGACTCTGTTCCCTAACAAATGCTGAGAGAAAATTTCAACTAGCCAACAGGATAACGAAACCATGCTACAAATTTCTTTTAAATTTTACAGATTCTTACCATGGTGGTATGAATGGCCTACACTTGGTAGCAGATGACTGTATTGAAGTTAACTGCCCCCAGTACAGAGGTTCAAGACTGTCTGATGCGTTGCGTATGCAATTGTATCTTGTAAGATATCCTCAATCTAGTTTTGGGTACAATATTGTTTTCTGATCATCAAACTGTTTCTAGATGTAACTTGAAATATTTTTTTCAGGAAAACAATAATAGCTCAAATAACATAGATAAAAATCACTTGTTCTACACAATATTTCAACACCTTCAAGATATGTCAATGGGACTTGTTTTAATGACACATGTTCTCCCCGGCTTCAGCTGCCCAGGTAATATCAAAACATATTTTTATTATTTTATTGTTTTACACTGCGGAGTCCAAGGGCTTTGCCCTGTAAGGACGCTACACAGTTTTTGATTTAGGTGATGTGTTTATAATCTTTGATTTGAAATGTTTGTGCAAAATATTATTCTAAACCTAAATTTCTGCACAGGTGTGGCTGATTTAATTTTGTGTCTTGATAGAAACCGTGTTTTTAAAAAACCAACTCATGTTAGTAATATAAGTCCATGGAGAGTTAAAAAATTACCAAAACCTCGACTTGACTGTACATACTTTGTTGTATGGGCTTCTCCATCTCACTGGCCTCCATATTATGTGAAGCTGAAGGATCGCACTTTGAAGAAGCTTGGCTATGTCAGTTTGATGGTAAGGGACATATCCAGCTTTTCTGTGCCTCAATGTTGATTTTTAATGTGGTAATTGATACACTTGTGTTTACTTTTGACCTAGATTCAGCCAGAAACATGGAGTTTGCCAAACGAGTGCATAGACCATGAGTTACACTCATTTTTTTACAAGTATTCAAAAACGAAGAGAGAGTCGGATTTATATGTGTAGTAGCAATTTAGTTTCTAGATCGTTATTGAACAATTGTCAAAAAATTATACATTGTTTGAATTTAAATTACTTTTATTTAATGTTGTCACAATGCCAACCATAAAATAAACAAATCAAAAAAATTCATTTGCAACATGGTGGACAACCATGTTTTTGTAACTTATACAAATAAGTATCTTAACATAACATTAAATAACTCAATAGACATCTGTCATGATCATGACCCAATGATTGGAAAATTCTTCTTTACAATTACGTAACGATTTGTGCATTAAAGCAACTAGGGTGTGCCTTCAGATATAATCAGGTGAAAAACATCAGAATAAATACATTGATTAGAAATAGAAAGCACCAAGTATTAGAGAAAGAATTCTTGATCTAAGGAACTAACTCCTTTCAAATGGGGGAATTTTGTGGGAAGAAGTAGCTTAAGAGAAATCAATGATACCTTAGGTTGGACAAAGCGTACTTCCAGACACAGATGGTGTTTCAGAAAATTCAAGTATACACAAAACGAACTGCTACTAAACACTCTTCACTGTATCAAACACAGGGATCTATGTCCAGAACAAATAGAGGATATCTTTGATGTATCAGTAACAAAATATTGACATGCACAGCTAAGGAGTAAGAGCGAGACAAAGATAACATTGCTGTTGTTTTCTTTAATTATCTTTTAAAGATACGTAAGAAACATTCTGGCAGATTTCTCAAATAAATTGTAACAAAGTCCCTGATACAATTACTACAATAATCACAGCAACCTCACATAAGCTCAAAAAACTTTAATTAATAAATTACAAGAATGCTATGTTTCTGGGCCTGCCAAAACACATACAGGACTAGGGATAAATGCAAACTATTCCAGATGCTAAGCACTGCAGAAAGCAACAATGAGCAAAGAATAAAAATCAACATTTTAACTAGGTAATGTTTTTGCTGTTTTAAAGGTATCCTCATAAAAAGTTGCTGAGTAAATATTACAGAACACTAAACCAGCAAAAAACATTGGTATTACTTCCCATGTTCCCATGTTCAACTTCTGTATGTGACACATTAATCTCAGATATTTATTTCCCTCACTTCAAAGTACCAAGTAAATGGCCTGACAAACAGGAGGCTGAGAGCCTCTTACATGCCAATAAACCCAATTTAGGTAAAGTTAATTTTCTTTACGCTTCTTGCACTCTTGTATTTTTAACTTAGAGAATAAATACTGCACATTTCCACATTTTACCACCTAATACATCAGTTCTTTGTCAGAGAGATCTCCAATAGGTTCGTGCATTTCAACCTCCTTCGGCCATGGGTAGGTGGCTGGCAAGGGGGAATCATAGTAATAGTCATACTGAGTGGATCTTATGAAAGCTTCCATATCCTTGGGTTCCGGATACAATGATGCAAGGCCTGAAAATAAAAGGCAAAACAAAGCAGGATTAAAAGTCTTGGAAACAGAATTGTTATGAACCTTACCAATAAAGTGCTAGAAACACTACAACTAATTAACACACCTTCTTTGTACGCATAATTAGCAACTTTGGTAGCTATCTTCACTGACACTTCTCTAATGTCACCAAGAGGTGGGTATAAGCTCCCTCGATCAAGATCAGTCTGAGCTACAGAGTCTGCTAGTACCTATAGTATTGACATATGGTTAGAAATGAACTAAAACCACAATTTTCCACTCCCTTATTAATTAAACAAACCTGACTAGAAATGAGGAATATGTCATCTGGGATATGGTGCATGCCTGTGGCAATCACACCAAGTGCAACACCAGGGAATATGTAAGCATTATTTCCTTGACCTGGTGTAAAGGTTTTCCCTCCATATTCTACAGGTGGGAAAGGAGAACCACTAGAAAATATACACCGACCCTAAAAATCAAAACAAAGAAGTTTAGAAAAGACCAATACTGTCCACGACAACAGTGGTCGCGACGCGTACTGACCAATGGGGTCTCACGATTGTGGAGTTTTGAAACAAAACACAAACTATCTCATATTAAAATGTCAGAAAATTGTAGGTGCCCTCACCTCAGTGTACTGGTAGGCTTGTTCTGCTGTGCACTCCGCTTTACTTGTTGGGTTGCTTAAAGCAAAAATAATTGGGCGCTCATTATAGGTACCCATTTGTTTTAAGATTTCTGGTGTGAATGCACCGGCACAAGCTGAGGCACCTGATAATTGAAAAGTTGAAAAAATATTAAAATTGACATAGGGTCATAGGATTTTAGAATAGGATTTCAGAATCAGGCAATAAAACATGTCTTACCAATAAGAACACTTGGTTTCACTTCATTTACAATGTCAATAAAACTATGTGTGGGTTTGTGGTCCTTTGCATAGTTTACCTTGTGACCTGAAAAAAGTTCAAGCAATCAATAAAAAGCACTTTAATGGGAAATGTGTTTGGATCAGGTGACTTAGGATATGCTAACCTTCAAGGTGACCCTCCGGACGATCCTTGGCTAGGAGACCATCAATATCAACCATCCAAATCTTATCTCGAGCCTCTTGTGCAGAACAGCCCTCAGCCATCATCCCTTTGACAGTTAAGTCAGCAATTCCAATGGCCGCCTGGAAAAATAAAATTTTAAACAAATTGTCACCAGTCACTTTTTTAAAGAAGTGTATTTAGAAAGATCCCACTTGCCTCTCCAGCACCAAGGAATACATATTTGTTGTCTGACAATTTTCTGTTTGTAATGCGCTTTGAGGCTAAGAGCCCTGCAACAGCTACACTAGCAGTACCTTGGATGTCATCATTAAAAGTGCAATATTCTTCGCAATACTTATCCAAAAAGCGGAATGCATTGTGATTTCCAAAATCTTCAAACTGCCAATAAAAATAACCATTACAATATCTTTTTAAAGAAATAAGTCAGATTATTCAGAAAATTAATAAGTACCTGAATCAAAGTATTTTGTGAGTATCTCTTCACAACAGCTTGCATGAACTCATCAATAAATTCATCATAGACTGGTCCTGTGACACGTTCTTGTCTTAAGCCAATGTATAATGCATCTTGGAGAAGTTTCTAAAAGACAAATAATTGATAAAAAAAATCAATGCCAGTGTATTAAAAAGTGTCCAAAGAAAATCATCAAAAAATAGATCCATTGAACAGTAAAGTGATAAGGATGTAATCAATGCTATATCACCAACCATGCACCAAAGGGAAGAAAAACAGCGCATTAAAGATGCTACCAAGTTTAACACAGAACTACAACTAAGGTAACTGAGCTAATAATTAGTTACATATCAGACAAAATGCAATTCATAGATTCATAGTCCCTCAATCGTCTTATCAACTAGTGCCACCCTCATCTATCATCTATCCAAACAAATTTCAATTTATTTACAAGACAAAGGCTGAAAACATCAGGTATATAGTCAGGTATACAGGGCCGGAAACGATGTAAAACGTGCATTAAGTTGACTTTCAATAAGCAAAGCAAATCTTAAAATTTATTAGCACAAGAGCACAGCTCAAATCATTGAGCTTGAAGCAATGAATTCACAAGAGCACCATTGACTAGATAAATAAGATAATTCTGATTCAGACAGTAGGAAATTGGTAGAAAATAAGACTGCCACCATTCTGAAACCAATTGGAGAATACCACAAAGTAAAAGCTTTACCTAGTAATATGGCAAACAGCAAATCCAACCAAGCCAATTCAGTAGTTCATAGTATTTCAGACAGCACAACAGAGACAAAGCAGAACGAATAAGAGCCATACCAGGAGTCAACCAACAAGACCAATTGTTAGATAAAGATTAAACAAAATGGAAAGTGGTCAATAAGATGTATAGAATACATCAGAGAGAGCCCACAAAGATGCCAATCCTTCACCAACCAAACTGACTACTCCAGGTCAGTGAGGGATGCATGATGCACCAGGGCTTTGAGAGCCCTCTAGACTCCACTTAGTTCACTTAGCGGGTGTGCGTGCGGGAGATTAAAAGACAGGTGCGACATACAGTGAAAATGAATGAAGTCGCAAAAACTTGCCCACCTGGTTGTTGGTGCCCACATCGAGCGTTATGGGCAGGCACTGGTGGGGCTTGATGCCGGCCAGCGCAGTGTACAGGGCGAGCTTGCCCACCGGGATGCCCATCCCACATGCACCCAAGTCACCCAGACCCAGAATTCGCTCTCCGTCCGTCACCACAATCGCCCGCACATCGGGCTCCGGCCTAAACAGCAGCAACAAGCCAGCCATTCACCATCACCCAAAACATTAGAGGTAAAAAACTCATACCATTTTCTTAATTCAATCGAGTTTTAGAATAATAACAATGAAATAGAGCAAATTTAAGCACAGGTGAAAAAGGAGCAGTACATTTTTAAAGTAATACAGATAAAAAATTAGATTAAACTCAGAATCACACAAAGTGCTGTTAAAGTAGAGTTGAGAGATAAATAACTATAACTGCCCCAGTTCCAACCCATACCCCTCCCACCAAAACATAATAAATTATAATATGTAAAAGAAAAATGGTACAGAATACTTTAGACTGTAAATGTTCCTAGAAACTGAAAACAGAACCTTCAAAACAATGTTGAGAAAACACATCTATAGCTGAAAATTAAAATGAGATATCATTTTGCAGGAACCCCATCAAATAATTTTCAAAGCCATTCCATCCTCTGCTATTACATGTATTACAACTGTAATAATTACTGTTAGTTACTAGGTGTAATTATTTTTTTTAAGCACAAGCTGCATATTTGGCATTTGCACAGGAGTTAGGCTTTGAAAACAAATTAAAAGTAGTGTCTAGTCAGATTAGCAGAAAAGATACAATTTAACATAATGTGGGAGTGTGGGAAATGTTACAGAAAAAGCATTTTGTAAACAACAAAGAACAAAGCCAGCATGGAGGTTTTAGTATTGCAGACATGCTCATGCCAGCTTAAACAGGCACATTCAATAGAGTTATAACATCCCTTTCCCATTTGTATTTGAATGAAAAAGTGTCAATTTTGCGTGCAATTTCACAACAAAATTATACAATGATGTAAAATATGAAGTTCATCATCATGATGCTCATTTATGTATGAAAAGGTTTCTCAACATAATGGTGCATTGCCTTTTTTTTCCAGGATACTCAACAAGAGCAAACAAAATGTACATGGCATACTCTACGAACCTTCGGCTCATGACTGTTCCTCATCTCCATAATGAGCATTATACTTTCATCACAGAGCTTGTACGACTTCTTACAATAGAGGTCTTTGGAGTAAAAAAATTAATGACAGAACAAGAGGGAGAAGATATTTCAGATGTTTGAATGAGCAATGAGCATTCCAGGCAATTTCTTCCAACAAGTCAAAGAAATGTCTATGTACCTTCACTACTTCCTAAAGCGTCAAAAACTGATTTTTACCGAAAACATAAAAAATGTTCCTAATATTAAGTGTTCCTAAATAATTCGTGTCCAAATAAATTAGATCAAAGCGGGAAATAAGTAGCTCTAAAGCCTCTCATTGAATTGGCCATAAAGTGGGCTAAACTATCACTCCAGAGAAACAAAGTAGGTAAAATGATTGTTAGAAATGAATAAGGAGTATGCCATTCCACATTACATAGAACTCCTACATCATTTAGAGTGTTTCTTCCAAATATAAACCACTCTTCTGCACTAAGACTATTTTTTTAAAAAGCAGAAATATGGTCAAATTGAGAGATTGCTTACCAGTTCTTTAAGATATCATAAATATGCCCCTTGTCGTGAATTGTAATAAAGAGCCCTCGAGGACGACGGTAGATGAGACCATATTTTTGGCAAGCCAACCCAACAGTTGGTGTGTAAACAATGGGCATCAACGCTTCAACATTCTCAGACAGTAGTCGAAAGAACAGTCTTTCATTTCGGTCCTGTATTTACCAAACGTAATTAAAACAAGAAGTACAGCATTGATTGCAAACTCTAGGTAAAATGAACTACCTGCAACTCAGCAAGATAAAGATACTTGTTGATTGAATCGTTATAGCGACAAACAGATTTCCAGCACAGCTGCAACTGTATTTCCATACTTCTGAACTTTGGAGGCATAAGACCATGGATTCCTAGAGCTTGACGCTCTTCCAATGTGAAACCTAGGCCCTGAAAAAGCAGAAACAAAGACTTTTAGGTAACACTTACACTACAATAAAGTATAGAATACATGCACGCTTGCAACACATTTTTCAAACAGTAGTATCCAAATTGAGATGAGTTGAGGGTAGCATTTGTGGTGGAAAGGGCACAAGAAACAAGATACCTTACTTAAACGGGGGTGGTGAAGATGGTCTAGACCACATAAGGACGGTGGACCCGCACCAATGGGAGAACTGGAGGCGCAGGATGTTGAAAAGGGTCTCAAGGATGAGTAAAGGCAGGTTCCAAGGAGTATTAAAGGAGGGGATACATGCAGAACTAGTGTGGAACACTGCACAAGCATTATCAAGGGAACAGTGGCAATAATGAGAAGCAAGAAAATTTATAGGGTCTTCCGATTCAAATAGGCAGACTCTTCAGATACAAATAGGAAAGGAAGTGAACTTGGAATAGGCATACCTTGTTCAGTCGAGGATCTCTCAAATGGTCAATTCCCTGTACCATTGAAGGGCAGATAATGTCGCCCGTGACCTCATGGTAACACCTCTTAGATGAAGGGGAGGTGCCTTGCACATGATGGGCTGGCTCACAACAAACAATGCGAGAAACCCCAAAGAGGATTCCATTTCTGCTACTGTGGCTAGTAGACCTGTGTAAAGCAAACAGAAATATTATTCAAAATTAAAGCACGAGTAGCATAGAAAATACAAGAGAAACAAATGTTTGAACTAAATTAACTCTCAGGGATACAGAAGACTGACAGTCACATGAGCCACAATCACTTGAAACTAATCCCCTGCCATTGATCCCTAAGTTGCTGCTTACTAATAATGTAACACAACAAAGCAGCAGCCTTTGACTGAGGGCCAGCTCTGGTTAAATAATAATAACGATTTCTCGCTGTTCTAACTTAACAGCATAACTTAAAATTTAGCAACTAAGTGACTCACAGCGCTGCCCTTGACACAATCGACGACAGCATATTGAGGTTATGGTTGACCACAGGTTCGGGCACTGACGGACGTCAAAACGAAAACGGCTGGATGAAGGGCGGGTCTGCGAAGGGCCTGCTGGTTGGTGCTGATGGAAGCGGACACTCGAGAGCTTGGTGAACCGGAGGCCACACAGCTGCCAGTAGCTAGTTACAGCTGAGTTTAGCTGCACTTGCCCGGATGGGGCTCACTCACACATACACACAAGTACACACACACAGCAGCTCGAGCCGATCCTGTCGTCTGCTATGCCCCATACCAACATTAAGGTCAACTTGCTTGCTCAACACCGGAACCAACGCGGGGGAGGGACCGTTGG